CAAGAACGAAGCGTCGAAGTAAACTTTGCCAAAGTACTGTAGTTACTGTAGAATATGTTTTATATAGCCGTCTCTTACGTTCCACACAGAAAACAACAACATATACAGTGTATGGAGTTATTTTCTCTGCAACACCCCGTCCTCCGGCCCAGCAGGAGGGGGTGGCTGCGTCCTGGTGCCCACTATGCGAGAACTGCTTTTGTCCCGTCCTTGACCTGAGAGATGATGTTGTTGCTGTTGAATTGAATCAAACAATTCTAAGTGTGCTGAATTTCGTAGAAAAGCACAAGCACACCACTGGTCAGCATTACCGAGTGCCCAGCACTTCAAGGGTCTGGCGGGAGGAGACACGTTGAACAATAATCATTTTGGAGAGTTTATTTTGCACTGAATTATGTCAGCGTGCTCTGCAATAAAGAACGGGAAACAGAAGGAGGCAGGTTTGTACTAATGTGCACAGGAGATTGGGAAGCCCCACTCCGGGGGTCACAAAACAAATCTCGTTTGGCTATGATCTGGCTGTTGCGCTTCTTTAGGCGCTTGTTAAGACGCCAGAGACTAGAATATCCCATTCTCCTGCGTCCTCTACTTTCTAAGACCTGGGAGAGCTGACCGCTGAGAGCCTTCCTGCCTCACGAACCACCGGTCTTCCACCACTTCCAAATCCCCAAGATGTCCGGGAGAAGTCAGACTGCCCATGGAGGTAGTTTCTACGAGGACGTCGAGTCGGACACTCTTCGCAGGCTATCTGACTTTTCCATGTGGGTTCTCCTGCTTGAACATTGCCAGAAACCCGTTGCACTTGTGTGTCTATTCAACCGTTGAATGATGCAGTGAGACAGTGCAACTGTAGAAAGGCTCTAGTCTGCATTGTTGCAGAAGCGACTGGATGAGGAAGTTGGGGGAAGCGGAGGTCTTCGAATCAGACTTGCAGCACTTAATCCTCAACTATCTCACTATCAACGGCCTCGCAGGACCAGCAGAAGAGTTCATAAAGGAGGCACGAATAGACCGTAAGCTGGAGCCGTGCTACAAAGCTGAGCAGTTTTTTGTTTCTCTTGGCTACCCTGGAGGGGATATTCGAAATGTTGGGGTTTGCTCCCCGGGGTTGTTCTAGCGGTTGTGCTGCAAGCTTCTGCAACAGTAACTGCAGCTTCTGCAGTTGCTGTTGCAGCAGCACGAACAACCAACACGCCTTTAGCGAACTGCTGCTCCACAAAATTAATTTTTCCGATTGGAAGTATTCCACGGGCAGCTGTTCAAGTGGATCAAGCTCCTAAAGCGCACGCATTAAACTCCCCGGCACGCATTGGGAAATACGCGACAGTGGTTCTTTCCTGCCAGTAGACCCGCTGTTATTGCTCTCAGCTTGCAGCAGCCTAAGCCACACAGCAGCAGCGTCACTTGAGAGGCAACCGTAATTTAGGTGTCAACTGGTTTGGTGCTGTTGCTGCGTTTGTTGGTGCTGCAGCTCAGATGCCGTTGCACTGCATTGACTGCAGAGCGAAAATCCGTGAGGCAATTTTAAGTGGTCAGACTGATGAGGCCATTCGCCAAATAGGCTTTATCGACCCAAATGTCCGTTATAGACGCCAATGCCTTCCCCAGGCATCTCCTTTTCACACATAGATGTGCTCGGGTGAATCAGTTACGCTCCGAAGTGCAAAAATAGCACCCATTGTGTGCGGACCTGGGTTGCTTCGCAGCTGCTGAATGCGGACGCAGAAGTGACTTTTCTTCTACACAAGCAGCAGCTATTGCGACTCATAGAGGCGGTGAGGGTTGCCTCCTTTTTCACGGTGACATGAACAAACTCGACGGTAGTGGCGCTGCAGTTCGATATAATGTACTTTGCGATGCGATCTCCTTGGGTACCAATTGCTGTCCGTGGTTCTGCAGGGAGACCCCGAAGAAGCGATCGACTTTGCTCAGCAACGCCTTGCACCTTGTGTCAAAGAGTGTGTATGTCTTAGCACGTAAGAGCAGCGGGCCGGCGCAGCAGGTTCGTCAGTGACAGGGTTTGATGGGAAACATGCACAGGGTTTCGTGGTTTGCTTTTCAAAACCCCTTGTTGATGTGTGCAGCCTCACTTGTTGCCACAATTAGAGGAAGTTATGGCTCTGCTGGCCTTCACTGACCTTAGCGTAAGCGGAGAAACGTCGTTCATAACGCGAGTGTCTGCTTGGGCTACACCGGCATCAGCAGCACGAGGCTGTTCAGCCAGAACGATAGTAGCACACGAACAGGAAGCTGATAGTTGTGAAGCGGATATGTAGCGGCAGTCGCTCCTCGAGTTGTTTCCTTGCAGTGCCCGGAGGCCCAGCGTCTCATAGGGGGGATGGAGCAGCGGGAGGAGACTGCTAGACGAATCGACGAGGCAATCCTTGATCTGTACAGGATTGAGCAAGGTAAATACCAAAAATACCTGTAGACGAGTTACGAGCTTCCCTAAGCTCTGGATTACAAGCACTGCTCGCTAGGCAGGAGGTTGGCTCGTCTTGTGTCCTAGTTGCCTAACTTAGTTGTTAGAAGAAGACAGTCATGTTAATTTAATGCTGAGATGGATATGGGTATTTTTGTGCGGACATGATGGCGCAGAATCAGCTTTAGAGCTCTTAACAAAAAATGTCCTTTTTAGTCAGGGATGCCTTCAGAACACTGTAAGGCGTTGCTTGCGTTCAGTTCTCCTCCTTTCCTCAATGCTTTGGTATTGTAGGGTTTGCCGTAAACTCATTAACAGCACGTAACAACAGTGGTTGAGCGCTTTAGTGGCTGGGTGATGCTGTGGCCGTGTGAACTGGCTGCTTCCTTCCAAGGTGGCGTGGATTTACCCAGCGCTTCACTGTGTTGCGATTGGCGGGAACATGATCGGTGCAGCAAATTCGTTTGGGTCTGTTCACAGCAACGATCTTTATGCCCAGTTGTTGTTGACATCCGGAGGGCCACTCTGGGAAGGACTCTTGGGCGTGCTCCGGGTCAAAGGAATCGGGGGGAGGAAGGGACTGACACGGGGGGCGCTCATTCTGGCGGGGAATCTGGGGTGTTTCAAGTTGATGCACTAGACCAGCAGCCGGCGCAAGAAACACAACCGGAAGGGGCAAGCCATCGACATAGTCAGGCGACAACTAGCACCCAGGTCCCCGTAAATGCTCCTCGCAGAAATCAAGGAAGAGATCAGTCTCGAGATTTCGGCAGAAGGCGGCGCGCGGGCGGCGCTCCCCAATAGAAGAGGCGTACAGGAGGGCTGGTGTCCCATAACGCAGCCAGACTAAGTGACCTTCGTCGCTCCAAACATAGCGGGCTTAGTGGGATTCAACTAGCTTCACTATAGCAGATTTTGTGTTTTGCGTCGCCCGCTTTGAGGGAAAGTAAGGCATCGGGAACGGGGAATGCGCACGGAATGACTTCTCACGCGACGTGCTGGGTTTTTGCACCCGTCGCGTATAGTTGGGTTCAGACATTCGCACTTTTCAGGCCTGCCGAATTTTTTCTGAAATATTGCATAGAAACTGCGGACCTTATGCACAATTTTGAGAGTGCCCTGGGGCAAAGCCTTCTTGGCGGCATAGAGCGGGCGCAGTAGCAGGGATGCGCGGAGGTTAGTTGTGAGATTGGGAGATGCAGTGCTAATGGACAAGGTGAGAGGGTTTCTTGTTGAATATGCCTTTACATGGTGCCACAGTAACACTGCCCCAAGTTAGAATGCAGCTTCACAACGACGGAAGGCACGCGCTACGCTAGATTGGGAGGGAGGGCAGCATGCGTGGGCTTAACAATGCTGAAGTAATAACTGACATTAGTATTCTACACCCTTATGTTTTGTATTTGTATTTGAATAGAGGAAAACCCCGGTGCGTTAGCAGAGCGGTTGTGAGAGAAATACCACTCGGTGGTTCCTGCTTCCGGCGCTGTCGTGCAATGAAGGACCGGTCCGCTGGGGCGATGTGGGTCTGCTACATGTTGTTTCAGACCCGTTTCAGATTCCATGCCTATGACTTTGAAACGTTTTAATCCTCTCAATTCAAGAAATGTAGGGAACAGTCCTTTTGGCTGTTTTGTCTTTCAATGGGTTTCAAGCGGAAAGGTCACCTCTAGTAGCACGCACGTACTGAACTGTAGCTCCTTAGAAGAGTTCCTTTTACTTACTTTTGAAATATGGGGAGCGCTGTGACTCAAGTCGGGTGGGAAGATTCATCCTATATTTGGGAAATCCGAGACTTTCTCGATCTCCGTGAAATGGCCAAGGAAGACCGTCAGTCTACTTCTTTCTTACTCCGAACCATTCTTCTCCCACTGCCACTGCCACCGCACGCAGCGCTTCAACAGCACCCACAACGACCGCAACATGGACTCCATCTTACCAGTGCAGTCACTAGAAATCGGCCAAGATGAATACATATCCCTAGAACGCACGCGAGATACAGAATTTGGTGCTTGACCCCTTTTGCAGACTGCGCTTGGCGTTGTTCGCAGCATCCTGTTCTGCTAGTCGATTGGAGAGTCCTGTTTTCAACTGCTTTTCCCTCTGGCTCTTCCCTAATG